CTGTAGTTCGTTAAGAGTGCTGAGACCTGTTAGGAGACCCTCTGTCCCCCACCCCCACAGAGCTACAGTTCTTACAGTGGTTTAGCAATAAATCCCTCCTCCCAGGGAACTCTGGGAATTGTGGCTCTGTGAAGGGAGCGGGGGTCTCCTAACAACTGTCGGTACCCCTCACAAACTACATTTCCCAAGATTCTTTGGGGGGGGTTGATTGTTTAAAGTGGTATGACGCTACTTTTAAAAAGTATAGTGCGGGTGAGGGCTGTGTGAATTCTCATTCAATTGCCAGCATGGTCTGAACTCTCTGAAAAAGAAATCAGGATGAATAGTCAATATACACCTCCCACCTCTAAGCCCTGGAGATGGAGGTTAATTGGGAGGAGGGAAGCAGAGGACAAACCCCTACAGAGTCTATGCAGTAATTTGCAACTGGCTCGTGCCAGGCTGAAGCTTGCAAGCTGCAAGCACAGTCTTCAGAATAATGTTATTAAGATTATGATCATTACTGCCGGCGCTCCAGCCCTCCGGGAAATTCAAGCTCTCCCCCTGCCACCTGGAGGGAGCCAGGCAAACCTGGGGGCTTCAGGTGAGCCCTGGAGGTCTGGCAATCCCACAGGGAATCTACCTGGAGTGGATTCTGTTGCTCTGTCAGAAACACTGCTCAGAGATTTTGCCCATGACACAACACACACAGCTGCGCTGTAGGCTAGAACTGGTGAAAACCACAGTTCCCTTTTCCAAAGGAAACTGAGAAATTTTCGGAGAGGCTGAAACTAGGGATTTCTAACCAGAACTTCTCAGCTTCTCGGGTGATGCTTTTTACTGGCATGTTGAAGTTGCAGGGCCTGCTTTGTGCCTGTTTGTTAGGCTTCTGTTAAATGCATAGGCACAAGGAGATGAAAAATAGTTGGCAGTTTTAATCCTGTAAAGGGGCAGCTTTAATTGAGAGAGTTCTTGTCAAACTGTCTTTCCTTGTCCCCTGCCTCTCCAGATGATTTATTTTATCTACTGTTACTGTACTGTTCTTTCCCTTTTGTAAGTTTACTCCAAATCCTGTAGCGTTGAAGGTAGTTCAGAACATAAAAGTTGTAATCTGGCTGAAATAGCTAGTTACAGATTCCTGATCAAAGAACTTGAGATAGCTTTATAGCTTGAAAGTTATGCCTGTTTACTTAGAACGGTGCTTCCAGACAAGGGCTTAACATTGCTAACAGCTTTTTCAGATGTCAGATGCTGCAAAAACAAACAAACAAACAAGAACAAAACAAACCAATTTATGTGCATGAGAAGCATTGAACCTAGGGTAAACACGGAGTTCATTACGCCAAGTAGGAATGTGTACATACCCACATTTACTCTGCATCCTATGTGCTCCTCTTGATGGTTTAGGTAGCTGTGTACTCACAAGACGTTAGACACAATCCAGAACTATCCTGCAGCTTCTTGTGAAATGCTGCGTTTTGATACATCCTCCGCCCCCAAATCAGCTTTGATCTGAATTGGTAAAAGTAAAGGGACCCCTGACCATTAGGTCCAGTCGTGGCCGACTCTGGGGTTGCGGCGCTCATCTTGCTTTATTGGCCAAGGGAGCCGGCGTACAGCTTCCGGGTCATGTGGCCAGCATGACTAAGCCGCTTCTGGCAAACCAGAGCAGCGCACGGAAACGCCATTTACCTTCCCGCCGGAGCGGTACCTATTTATCCACTTGCACTTTGACCTCCTTTCGACCTGCTAGGTTGGCAGGAGCAGGGACCGAGCAACGGGAGCTCACCCCGTCGCGAGGATTCGAACCGCCAACCTTCTGATCGGCAAGTCCTAAGACCCTGTGTGGACAAACGGCAGGGCCTTAAGATACACATCCGACAGTGCTGATGTATACAACATCGTTGATGTCCTGATTTCATTGGTTTAAGCAATAAAGTGTACATTTTAAAAAACGTGTACGGCAACTTGCAAATCACAGCAAAAATAACAACAACCTCACGATGTTTTAAGCCCGTAATGTTTGCAAGCCTAAGCGCAGAGAGGATTTTAGTGAGGTTGTACAGTTGGCAAGTTAACCAGGGTGGCTTTTGGATAAAGGGGCACACTCTAACCCTACAAAGCATCCTTCTGACGCTATCCAGATGTTTAGGACTACATGGGAGTTGCCATCCACAACATCTGGAAGGTGGCAGACTGGGGAAGGGCCCTGTGAAGTTTCACGTTCCATTTCAAGCAGAGTAACTCCTTTGGTAAGGGACGCGGGTGGCGCTGTGGGTTAAACCACAGAGCCTAGGACTTGCCGATCAGAAGGTTGGCTGTTCTAATCCCCACCACAGGTGAGCTCCCGTTGCTCGGTCCCTGCTCCTGCCAACCTAGCAGTTCGAAAGCACGTCAAAGTGCAAGAATATAAATAGGTACTGCTCTGGCGGGAAGGTAAACGGCGTTTCCGTGCACTGCTCTGGTTCGCCAGAAGCAGCTTAGTCATGCTGGCCACATGACCCGGAAGCTGTACGCCGGCTCCCTCGGCCAATAAAGCGAGATGAGTGCCGCAACCCCAGAGTCGGTCACGACCGGACCTAATGGTCAGGGGTCCCTTTACCTTTAACTCCTTTGGTGGTGGGGTTCTCTGCTGATGTGCTGGGCATAGTCCTATTGATAAAAAGAAAACTGTCATTCCCACTTCTGTGTTTGAACACTGCATGTTTGTGCTGCGCAAGCATGATTAACCTTCCCTCCTAGCACAGGTTCCTCGATGCAAATTGCCCCCCAGAGCTGCAATTAGCCATGGAAGGGGAAAACATATCGGCACCATACAGGAAGGAGCCTGTACGTTTCCCTCTCCTCGGTTTATAGGAACTGGTGTGTGTGGTTTGAATCACGAGAGTCAGCACTGGGAGAGAGAGATTTCTGTTTGTTAATTTTTAAGCTGTGCTAAGGCGGCCTGGCCTGATCCAATCCGCAGTGCCTGAGGCTGCTGTTGACGCAGGCATCTCTAACAACACATCCAGTTCCGTCCTCCTTGGTACTGGGGCCAGATTCAGAATCCAGAGATTCACACTGAAAGAAAAAGGTTTATGTCCATGCAGCTAAACCTGAAAATGTATGCTGGTATAATTTTGAAAGGCTGAATTGGCCAGGTCTTCCATGTGCAAGAGAAGACCTCTGTCTGTATCCCTAAAGATGAAATTATGCAGGGTAAGCTGAAATACAGATATATATACTTGTGCTTTTTGCTCTATAAGACTCACTTTTTCCCTCCTAAAAAGTAAGGGGAAATGTGTGTGCATCTTATGGAGCGAATGCAGGCTGCGCAGCTATCCCAGAAGCCAGAACAGCAAGAAGGATTGCTGCTTTCACTGCGCAGTGATCCCTCTTGCTATTCTGGCTTCTGAGATTCAGAATATTCTTTTTCTTGTTTTCTTCCTCAAAAAACTAGGTGCGTCTTGTGGTCTGGTGCGTCTTATAGAGCAAAAAATACGGTGCATGCTTAAAAATATTTTGAGCAGGCCCCAGATATGTGGGCTACCTCAAAGGAGGTGTTTGTTTGTTTTTAAGCACAAAGGAGACAACAGGTTTGCCTTAAGCTTTGGACAAAGAAAGAAAGACAGAAAGAAAGGTGATCTTTATTTTCTGCTATATGGAATCATAGAATTGTAGAGTTGGAAGGGGCCACTAGGGTCATTTAGTCCAACCCCTGCAATGCAGGAATCTTTTGCCCAATGTGAGGCTTGAACCCACGACCCTGAGATTATGAGACTCCTGATCGACCAACAGAGCTACAGACATAGCCTCGCTCAGCCTGGGCAAAAGGCAGGTAAAGTCAGCCACCAAAAAAACCAGCTTTCTAGTTAACTGGTCCCTGGTTAACTGGTCAATGCAGTGCATATTTTCCTAGGAAGAAGCCCCAGTGTTTGGGGTTCTGTTCCTAGTAAATGGACATAGGCCAAGGCCTATCAATGGCACCTCTGAGGCTTATGTGTGCTTGGTAGGAAAAGCCCCATCACAGAAGGTGTAGATGGTATCAACTACAACTCCCAGGACAGTGCTGGCAAGGGCTGATGGGAGTCATAGTTCAAAAATACCTGGAGGGCTCAAAGGCAGCAAGCTGTAAAAAAAACCCCAATGATTTTGTTAAAAACAACAAATTTGTGTGTTTTTAATCCTTTATTTTTTTAAAAAAAATGAATAAAAATTATATAAGCATAACCACGAAAAAACACCAAAGCACTACCCTATGCCTGTTTACACAGAAGCAAGTCCCACCGAGTTATATGACACTTCCTCTCAAGTAAAATCCGTATATGGGCTCATGAACAAGAATTAGCATCTGCCCAAAATGCTTGTTAACTCTCTGATAGGCTCTTCATTTGGAAGCTGGCTCGGGCTGAAACCAGTAAAACTTACTTCCGAGTAAACTCGATGCAACTCAGCAGAAAATGGAGTGGTGGTGGTGGGATTTTGCAGGTACATCTACTTAGAACTCTCCCCGCCCCCTCCAATTCCCCTTCTGCGATCCCGTGCAAACGCGGCGTTTTACTCGAAAGTAAACCCCGCGAGCGCTGAGCACACCCAACCCGCGCCCAGATTCGCAGCCACTCAGCGACTCCGGCCGAGGCGCGCACGTGCAGCCACACGCACACGCAGCGGGCGCCTTTCCCCAGTTCACGTGTGAATCCGCACACAGCAGCAGCAGCAACGAGCAGCAGAAGCAGGCGCCGCTCCACCAATCCGGGCGCTTTTTTCCCGGGGAAAAAAAGGGAGGGAGGCGACTGGGCAGCTCGTCTCCTCCTCCTCCTCCTCCCTGGCGCTGGCTTAGACGGGGGAAGGAAGGAGGGCGGGCGGGCAGGCGGGCCGGGAGGAAGCGGCGTGTGGGCTGGGAGCGGGCCGGGCTCCGGCTCGCTGTCTCTGGCTGAGGCTCCCTTGTCACCGCCTGCGTCAGAGCGCAGGAGTTTTCCACTGACGAAAAAGGGCAGCGCAGCAGCTGAGCCGGGAAGGAGGAGGAGCGACGGCGGCGGCGGCGGAGCAGTCCAGCGCCAGGCGCAGCCAGCCAGCCAGTCTCTCCGCAGCCTCGGACGCAGCAGCAGCAGCAGCAGCAGCCGCCAGTCTCGACGGCGATGCAAGCCTGAGCGGCGCCGTCTCGCCCTCCTGCTCCTCCTCTTTCTCCAGCCGAGCCTCCTTCCTCCCAAGCCGGCTTGCCTGCTTTCCCCGCCGCCGTCCGAGGAGCCCCCAGCGGCGCCGGTGAGTGTCTGCGTCCGCCCGGCTCGCCGCCGTCGGGGCCCGCGCTGCGCTGCGCTCTCGGGGCTTAGAGCGCTGGCGGTGGGGTGCGGGGGAGAAGGGTTGGGGGGCGTGTTCCCGCGGGGAACTAACTTAGGGTACGAGGGGCCATAACGAGACCGGCGACTGCCCCCACCCCGGCGACAGCAGTCGTTGGATAAAGGGAGAGGGGGCGCTAGAGAGGCGGGAGTTGGGGCTGGTCCAGGGTGGATTGCGGGCGCGGAGGGCTTCGGTTCAGAGAGCCCGACAGGGGGCGCCCTGGAGACGGGGGGTAAGAGAGGGGCAGATTCATAACGCGACGGCCGGGACTCTCCGTTGGGGCTCGCTCGGGACCTCTGACTGTGATGGATGGGAGCAGTTCACGGCCAGGGTAGAAAATGAGGTTGATTCGAAGTGAAACGGAGTTAAGTCGGGGTTGGAAAAGCGGAGCGGGCGGAGGAGCGAGGGTCGTGGGGAGGCGATTGCCCACCCTCTAGGGGGCGCTGTAGAGCGGGCGAAAGAGGCGGCTGGAGGAGTTCCGACGGTCGGAAGGGGGCGCGCAGTGTCCAAGGTGCGCGGAGCTGGGTCTGGGGGACGGGAAAGTGGCTCGTTTCTGGCTGTCACACTTCTGATCGTGTTAAGTGGGCTCTTCCGGAGGCATTTCGCCCCCTTAGGAGTAGAAACCGAGGCATTGAGAAGATTCCGGACTCCTGCTGTGCTCACGTCGAGGTTCCTCGCCGTCGAGGCGCTGACTTCCCCCGGCTGGGGATCTGGGGAGCGCGGCTCCTTCCTTTCCCTTATTGTCTAGCGGCAGCCTGGATCTTATCCTGATCCCCACCCCCGCCACGATCTTACTCCTCGCTTTCTCGTTTCCCTCCTTGCACCTGATCTCTGCCGAGGCGTCTGCGGTTTCGATTCCCGCCGCTCACGTTGATCTGGCCACGGTGTGTTTATTATAACCTGGATTCTTGCGAGCATCTGTTTAGGGAGCCAACCCCGCGCTTTCTTCCTACCCCCCCCCCTTTAAGGTCCTGGAGTGATGGGTTGTAAAACAGTTCAAAAGAAGTTAATTGAGTTGCCCAAATTCTCCAGCCCTGGGAGATAATGATATTTGGCTCCTCGCTGGGCTATCTCTTAAGGGACTGGCAAGATCTCTCCCTGGGGCGATCTTAGCAAAGAATGTGAGGCAGATTGTGTTCAACAGCAACAACCCAAAACAAGAATGCCAGATACTATATTATAAAATGTGTTGTTTCTTGGTCTCTGCCTTCCTGGAACCAGAGAGAGAGAGAGAGAGAGAGAGAGAGAGAGAGACTCCATCATTGTGGAAACAACGTAACTAGTTTTGGAATTTTTGTTTTCCATGTTCTCAGGATTTTCTTTCTTACAGTCCCCCCCACCGCACCCAGGTTTGTTGTCATCAGTCCTTCCTCCTCCTCCTCATGTGTCATAGTTACGCCGGGGAAATACTGTGCTTTAGCAGGAGTTTGATGCCAGGGATGTGAGTCACACACAAGGCAGCTTAAATATAGGTTCTTGGGGTTTTCTTTGAAACATCACAGTTGCTTGTCAATGGCATTGCATCAACGGCAGCCTGTCTGGTTTGCATCACTGAATAACGTCGTTGGAATTCAAAGCCGTGTCATGGCAGTGTTGTCCAAATGTCTCGCGATGGAGGCGTGCACTCCCCCACCTCCCTCAAAGTAAAACTGGACGCTCTGTGCTCACGAACACACTCGGAAGCTGAATCTTGTTCCCATGTTCCCCCTTGTTCCCTTGTTCCCCCTTGCTGTTCAGCACAAGCCGCTCCAGGGAATGTCTCTTGGCTCCAGGGCAAGCTCAGAACAGGCACTCATCCAGAGACACAGGAGGCAGCCTCCTTCTGGGGACTTGTGGCCAATTCTACTACGCCTCTGTGTTGGGAGTGATTGAACGGTGTGAATGCACACAGTGCAGAGCGACAGTAGCATTTCTCCCCACCCCCATCAGAGGCAAGGTCAGAACAGGGCATCATTCAGCGATGCAGCAGGCAGACTCTTTTTTTTTGTGGGTGGCAAACCATATCCCTGCATTGCGGGGGGTTGGACTAGATGACCCCTGGGGTCCCAATTCTACAATTATCTGAAAATTAACATTTCTTTTGTAGTGTATTAGTACGGTTCAGCAGATAGTAGGATTACGTGCATCAGGTTCATCATATCCCCTGGTCATAGTTGTTATGAAGTTAATTACCCTTTTGTCACAAATGCATATTGTTGTTGCAGCAAGGGAAAAACTCACACTTGAGCTGCGCATGGTTGCTTTTCAACTTCTGAGCAGATTGTGCAGAAGTAGCTGCAAACACTTGATCTTAGTTTTGCCGTGCTGCTGTGACGGGGGCTGTTTTTCTTTGCTCTTCCCCTTTTGTGGTCGCTTGCAGAGTTTTGAGTTTGAGGCTGCGTACTTGCAAGGGCCCAAGTCCATTTCACTTGGAATAATAATGTAACTCCTCATAATTATGCGTTGGGCTGGGTTGCCCAGCTGTCCTGAGGTATGCACTCCTTTTCTACTACAGTACAGCCTTTTGTGATGTGCTAAGTGACTCATTTATGACACCCGTACAGCTTTCCTGCATCTCTTGAGGACACGTGACTCTTCCTGCCTGTCAGATCTCTGCTCAGCCTGGAAGTTTGCATCCTTGGATGGGAGCAGAACCAGACAAAGAAGGCTGCCTTTTCTTCTTTCTGCATTTCTCGCTCTCCTAGACCAAGAAAGCAATAGCAGTTTCTGTTCCGGTTGCTGTTTGATGAAGGAGCCACAGGGAAGCTGCTTTTGCTTTCTCTTGCAGCCACAGCAACACCTACTGGTGCAAAGGCAGGACTGATCAGGAGCAGTTTTCTTGGTGAAACTCCTGTGGGTTGGAGAGAGAGACTTGAGACCAGAGAAGGATGCAGGCTCGTGTTTTTACTTGCCTTCTCAAAGCCTTTAATAATAATAATAAAAAAGCTGTTCTGGAGGCCAAAAGTTGATATGGATGACATTTCGTGGTTTCTCTTGCAGGGATGGGTGGGGGTTACCTGTGGAAGCCCCTGCTTCTGCCCCACTGCCAATTTTTCTGCACTGTAACACTCAAAATCCCTAAGGTAAAGGACACCTGGACGGTTAAGTCCAGTCAAAGGCGACTATGGGGTTGCAGCGCTCATCTCGCTTTCAGGCCAAGGGAGCCAGCGTTTGTCCACAGTCAGCTTTCCGGGTCATGTGGCCAACATGACTAAACCTCTTCTGGCGCAACGGGACACCGTGACGGAAGCCAGAGCGCACGGAAACGCCGTTTACCTTCCTGCCAGAGCGGTACCTATTTATCTATTTGCTCTGGTGTGCTTTCGAACTGCTAGGTTGGCAGGAGCTGGGACAGAGCAGTGGGAGCTCACCCTGTTACGTGGATTTGAACTGCTGACTTTCCGATCGGCAAGCCCAAGAGGCTCAGTGGTTTAGACCATGAACAACATTTGGAGTGTCTATAGGTTCCTGTTTCTCTTTCTCAGTCTTTTTATTTTTGCATGTATACCCCACCTGTCGTCCAAGGCACTCAAGGTTAGCCTGCATAGTTCTTCTCCCCATTTTATCCTCACAGCAACCCTGTAAGGTAGGCTAGTCTTAAGAGACCGTGACTGGTCTCACCCAGTGAGCTTTGTGGCTGAGTGGGGATTCGAACCCTGGTGGTCTCCAACGCTCTAACTTGGTGTTTCCCAAACTTTCCCCCCTCTGGATCGCACTTTCAGATTAACAATTTGCTTGCACCACACCAAATATTTATATTGATAAGGCATTGGAAAACAAACTAGGATTGTCCTGGATATCACTTGATTCTCTTGCTCACCACACCCTTTGAGAACCACTGCTCTAACTGCTACACCACACTGTCTTTGTATTCTGAAGCAACAGGAGCAGCCTGCGCAATGACTTGGTCTCCATCAGCTCTGCCTCTTTTGCTTGTTTTCAGTCCTAGTCATTGCTTTAGTGTGGAAGCATTAATGGAAGCATTAATTTGCAATTATAAGGGGGGATTATTATTATTATTATTTTAAAGCAAGCTTTTTCTTTCCAAGTGCCCTCATCGCCCTCCCCATCGAGGAATATAATACGCTGGAGGGAAGAACAGTTAACACGGTTCCCTCTCGAGTTACGAACGGACACCCTTTTGGCATCTGTTGCTGCAGAAAACAGATGTCTGTATCGGGACGAAGGCATTGTCCGTTTGGCTGAGGGTTCCCCAATGGTGCCTACAGGGGGGGCAGGGGGGACTTAAGTTGGAGCAGCAAGCAGGAGATATTGATTATGTCTTTCAGGGAACGAATCATCTGTTGTCGTGTAGCTGAGTCAATTTGCAAAGCCGTTCACAAGCGCCTGCCCCTCACCGCTCTGCCCTGTGAGGTCTGTCCCCATTTTACAGGGAGCAAAATAGAGGCTGAGATTGGATGGTAAAAGTCTTGTAGACTGTCCACAGCAGAGGAGTGGACTCTCAAACCCAAGTCTGTCTCTGATCCAAGTTGCCCCCCTTCCCCGCAATCTCAGACATGGTTGTTGGTGTGGTGGTTTAGAGCACGATTGGAATGTTGCTATTCCAGATCTCAACCCAGCAATCAGAAGGGACCTTGAGGGTCATCTAGACCAACCCCTGCAAGGCAGGAACCTCAGCTAAAGCATCCGTGTCAGATGGCCATCCGACCTCTACTTAAAAACCCTCCAGGGTCCACAACCACCTGAGGGAGCCTGTTCCATTGTGAGATAGCTCTTACTGTCACAAAATTCTTCCTGATGTTTAGTTGGAATCTCCTTTAAACCACTGGTTCGAGTCCTATCCTCCAGAGCAGGAGAAAACAAGCTTTCTCCATCTTCCATGTGACAACCCTTGAGATATTTGAAGATGGCCATTAATGCTCCTCTCAGTCGCCTCTTTTCCAGGCTAAAGATGCCCAGCTCCCTCAACAGTTCCTCATAAGGTTTGGTTTCCAGACCCTTGGATCATTTTGGTTGCCCTTCTCTGCACACATTCCATCTTGTCAACACCCTTCTTAAATTGGGGTGCCCAGAACTGGACACAGTATTCCAGGTGCGGTCTGTCCAAGGCAGAACAGAGTGGAACTATTACTTCCCTTGATCTGGACGCTATACTTCTGTTGATGCAGCCCCAAAGAGCATTAGTGTTTTTGCTGCCGCATCACACTGTTGTCTCATGTTAAGCTTGTGGTCCACCAAGACCCCTAGATCCTTTTCACATGTAATACTTGGAAGCCAGGTGGCCCCCAGGTGGCTTTCTTACTTAGAACCAATCAGGGGATGGTTCCACCTCCTGTGGGTCTCTGTGCATTCTGCCCTACCAGGCCCAAATGGGCTAACATTGGCATTGAAGTATTCAAAGCACCTCATTTGCGTTATCTCGCCAACACAACAACCCTGTGAGTTGGGCCAGTAGTAAGTGACATACCCCCTCAAGTGAATTCGTTGTTGTTTCACTGCTATACCGCTTTCTATTTTAAAGAACAAATCTCAAAGTGGGTTACAACACACTGAACACCAAATAAAACAGTCCAGAACAAAACATATTCAAGCTTCAAGGAAAATCTTTCAGATCCTTCTCCAAGTCACCTGACACCCAGAGATCGTCATGTGGTCACAATTGGACCCGTGGCTGGTGCCTGGCTGATGTGTAACGCTGCTTCCCGGGTTCATGACTCAATTTCTTCAGCACACCCCCATTGTAGCTTTCCTGTTCTACTTCATGCATAAAAGTGTAGATCACCAGAAAAGAAATTCAGACCCAGTAGAAATGTCCATTGCCTTTTTCTGTAAATCTGCAGGGATTGCTTGCATGTATCTTCTGATGCATGTATCTTCCTTGCATGTACAGTGGTACCTCGGGTTAAGTACTTAATTCATTCCGGAGGTCCGTACTTAACCTGAAACTGTTCTTAACCTGAAGCACCACTTTAGCTAATGGGGCCTGCTGCTGCTACTGCGCCGCCGGAGCACAATTTCTGTTCTCATCCTGAAGCAAAGTTCTTAACCTGAAGCACTATTTCTGGGTTAGCGGAGTCTGTAACCTGAAGTGTATGTAACCTGAAGCGTATGTAACCTGAAGCGTATGTAACCTGAAGCGTATGTAACCCGAGGTACCACTGTATCTTTCATGCTTGCATGTATCTTCCGATCCAGATTCTCCTCCTTATATTCCACCTCCCCGATTGCTTTTCGGTTCTTTTTTCTGGAAGGAAAGTAGCTTATCTCATTCAGATTCAGGGACTTCATTGTGGCATGCAGCAAGTAGACGGTTAGACACCCCCCCCCCCAGTTCTTCCTGCATTATTAAGAGCAGGAGGCCGGCGCGTCAGAGGTAAAACAGAGTGTACCCACCAGAGGACAAACAAGGTAACCGGCGTTGCATTATTCATCAGGTGTAATCAAATAGAGGATTTGCCTAGACACTGAGGGCAGTTTGTATCTTTTGTCTTCCGTCCTCGCTTGAATTTGATTTAAAAGAATTAACAACCAAGTCACTTGCTTCTGCTGCCGGCATCTTTTAACACGGCCGTTCGCCTTTACCAATAATGTTGAGGGTTGAATCAGGCAGGAGCCTGCAAACCACCGCCACGCCTTTCTCTGTGTAAACAGAAGTCTCTGAGTGACTGTAGTGGCTCCCGGGAGTTGCTGCAGCCATGCACGTTGCTTCGTAAATCCAGTGCAGGTGGAGAGATGAGTAGGCACTGGGGAAACTGCAGAGAGGGGTGGAGGGAGCCTGTCAGGTTAGAACCAGGGGCTGCCCTAGGTGTGAGCACCCTGGGGTGCCCGCAAACCGGCTCAGGAAATGGAAAGAGTCGGTTCCTGCTAAAATGCAGGCAGATCAAACTGTAGCCTGGGGGCTTTGCGTGCAAAGTAAACACACAAGCAGGCACTCACTAGGTTTTGCAAAACATCTAGCTCTGTGTTGCCTGAAGGGCTTCATTTGGGAACTTATGGTCCGGTCCCCGCTCCCAGTTTGCTGCAGGGAAAACGGAGGTGTCTCCATTGCTGGAGCCATGAGTACCTGTTGCACGTGGCGGTTCTGCTGTTAAGCTGAATTCCTCTTAAGTCCTGCAGCAAGAAAAGCTGGATCCTGTGACCTGAATGAATTATGGAAATGAAAGCAAATTAGCATCGACACTCTTTGCATAATGCATTCTGCTCCAGTGATTCAAGAGGAGCTGTGGGGTGTTAAGAGAGTGAACCCTGCCGGCCAGAAATTCCTGAATAAAAACCCTTTCCTTTCTGAGATTTCACCAGGTATTGCTAGAAACTTCATTTCCTGTTTTGATGAAAGCTGGAATTCCCAGGAACTTGAATTCTGATCCTGATAAACCAAAACCCTGGGCTTCCTTGCATAGGTCTATAGGGCCCCGAAGTGTGTTCTCAGGTTTTGTTTTTTGCCGGATTAGGAAAGAGGGAGATTTATCCTAGTGCCTGCGGCTGGTTGCAGAGAAAGCTTTGAGGTCTTGTAGAAAGATGTGCTGAGTGTTCCCGATGCAGAGAGCAAGTTTTAAAATGGCATTTATGGCATCTTAAGCTTGTTCTATGGTTGTACGAACATTTCAGGGGCCCTCCCTCCTTATTTTTGCATTGGCACAGCCTGCAAGCAAGGTGCAGGGGGCTCCAAGAGAAAGAAGCCATATGTTCCTTTGCTAAGTTACAAATCTTGTTTACTGGTCACCTGGAAGTTTTCCATCCTCGCTACAGGCAACCAGGAGTCCAGTTCGTTGCTCCTACCTTTTTCTCTCTTTTCTTGCAAAACTAGATAAGCAATTCCTGCCTTTTAAAAAACGACAAAGCAAATTTGTGCACCCATACAGCTTAATATTTATATGCCACCCTTCCTGCAATGAGATCATGATGGGCATATGTCTAAGGCAGGGGTAGGCAACCTAAGGCCTGTGGGCCAAATGCGGCCCAATCACCTTCTCCATCCAGCCTGCGGACTGTCTGGGAATCCGCGTGGTTTTTATATGAGTAGAATGTGTCCTTTTATTTAAAATGCATCTCTGGGTTATTTGTGGGGCATTGAAATTCGTCCATTCCCCCCCCCAAAAAAATATAGTCTGGCCCACCACATGGTCTGAGGGACGGTGGACCGGCCCATGGTTGAAAAAGGTTGCTGCCCCTGGTCTAAGGGCTACTCCAGGTTACTTCCTCAAGAGCCCTGAGAGTAAGGTGGATGAGCTGAGTGTGTAACCGGTGAGGATTTGAACTTAACTATTATTTGTTAAATTTATACCCCACTTTTTCTCCAGGGAGCTCAAAGTGGCCCACAACTCTTCCCACTCCCCAGTCTAACCTGACAATAATCCCTTGGGGTAGGCTAAGCTAAGAGCGAGTGACTGGCTCAAGGCGACCCAGTGAGTTTCATGGCTGAGTGGGAATACGAACCCTGCTTTCCCAGGTCCTAGGCTGGCACTCTAACCACTACACCACACTGCTTCTCCTGCGCTGTTCAATGATGGAACGGACTCCCTAGGAATGTGGTGGACTCTCCTTCCACGGAGGTTTTTAAGCAGAGATTGGGTGACCATCTGTCATGGATGCTTTGGCTGAGATTCCCTCATTGCAGGGGGTTGGACTGGATGACCTTTGAGGTCCCTTCCAATTCTATGATTCTGTGAAATCTAGCCCTGGACCGCAACAGCACTCTGTCTCCCTTGCCTAGCCCTAACTGGGCACTTGCCATCTTTATTTGTTCTAACGATGCTCAGATGATTGGCGCGCCCCTTCCAAGTCGCCTGCCCTGGTCGTGTGACTCCCATTCGTCTCCGCGGGGTTTGTGCCAGGGAGTCTCTGCGAGGATTGCGCCCTGTGTGACTGGGGCATGCGGCTGAATTACGCCCATGAGCTGTTTTCTCCCGTGATGCGTGTTCCCATCGTGGCTTCCTGAGCAACTCAGTCAGTCTCCCCGGACAAAATGCTGCCTGCATTTTCTGGCGGGTGGGGTTTGGTTGTCTCACCGGTCTCTGCTTGCGACTGATTCATGCTTTTTTATTCTGGGATGTGAAACGTACGTGTGCTTTCTAGCCTTTGCTGTCCCGACTCTATTTTTAGCAGCAGAGAGAGATTATGAAACCTTATAGTCGGCTTAAGTTAACCGCCCCAAAAAAAAGGGAACCGCTTGAAGGAGCGGGAATCCCAATTTACTGTTCCTTGAAATAAGGTTGCTGAGTCCCTTTCTGTGCGCAAAGGGGACTTCTTGAATCTAGTCTCTTCTGTGCGGTCGTTTCTGGTGGTTTCCCAATGTGGTATCTACATGGGAAATCACAGGGTGAAGGTAGGAAAAAAGTAACTTTACTGCTGTGGAAATCCCCCCCTCCCCAATTTTCCCAGCACACACACATATATGCAAAGTATTGTATGAAGTAGCTTGGTATATTTTTAAAGGAAAGCACCAGAATTATTCTGTGTCTCTCCTTTTTATGTATGGCTCCAGTGTGTATTTCAGGCCTGGATTCACGGGCACCCACATCACATTTCTAGGTGTGCAAGCAGTCGGAGAACGTTAAAAAAAACAAATACTTGCATGATGCACACACTGAACCATTGGTCTGTGAATGGGACAAGAGAAGCTTTTCAGTATAATCTCTCCCCTGCTCACCGATGGTGAGTCGGTAGTACCTCCAGGTAACCAGGAAAGGAACTTGTTTCTTTCTAATTGGAAAAAGGTGGCCTTTTTTTGTGTGGGCTAAATTGCAAGGTTGGCAGAGATGGTTGCTGGAAACTTTCCAGTGCCTGCCTAGTTTGGTTTTGGAAAACGAGAGTTGGGGGACCAGCATCCTAACTTCCCTCCCCACAGAACCCCAAATTCACAGCTTTGCAGGTGCTACCTCAAGTTGGACTGCCAGATTTAGCCCAGGGCTCTCCAGTGGCCAATCCCCAACGCCTAGTATATTTCCAGAGCCAGTTGACCAGAGCGAGCGGGTGGAATTCTGTCCTTACCCCAAAGGGAACGTATGAGGCCAGACTATTGCTTCAGCTCCCCCAGTGCTGTCTAGAACTCGTATGGAGAGAGAGGTCGGCCCCATCCTGTGTCCACATCCAGGGTTCGGACCTTTTGCATGCGTAGTCTGGCTCTCGTACACAAACCTCACAAGCCAGGGCCCGGTGTTTGAAATCAGCCAAGTGCATTTTGCACCTTACTACTGACCACTTGGGACGCAGGTGGCGCTGTGGGTTAAACCACAGAGCCTAGGGCTTGTCGATCAGAAGGTCAGCGGTTCGAATCCCCGCAACTGGGTGAGCTCCCGTTGCTCTGTCCCAGCTCCTGCCAACCCAGCAGTTCGAAAGCACGTCATGTGCAAGTAGATAAATAGGTACCTCTCCGGCAGGAAGGTAAACGGTGTTTCCGTGTGCTGCTCTGGTTCGCCAGAAGCGGCTTAGTCATGCTGGCCACATGAGCTGTACGCCGGCTCCCTCGGCCAATAAAACGAGATGAGCGTCACAACCCCAGAGTCAGCCACAACTCGACCTAATGGTCAGGGGTCCCTTTACCTTTACCGACCACTTGTGACCAAGCAAAGATGTCTGGGCACCTAGTATCTCCGCCATCTGGAGGTGCGTGCCTGGGGATCCTTGGACGTGGACTGTTTCCGCACACAAGCAACACATCCTGTAGGAATCTACCTGTTATATTTTACCTGCGCAATCGGAATGAATTTCAGGAACCAAAATGCTTTCTCTGTGCAGCTTGAGCAGGAGCAGTCACCGTTAAGAAAAAGAGGTCAGAAAAGGCCAATATATATGCATACTGTCCCTGGATCAAGTGACTTTTCTTCTTTAAGCTCTCATAGTTCTTCACTGAACTCAAGATGGTCCTCTCAGCTAGCCAGATGTTTTAACTGAGAGTCAATCCCAGTCAGTCCATCATTTGAAAAATAAGACTTTAGAGCCGCCTTACCCAAAGAGGGTAATGAGGGACACGGGTGGCGCTAGGGACGCGGGTGGCGCTGTGGGTTAAACCACTGAGCCTAGGGCTTGCCGATCGGAAGGTCGATGGTTCGAATCCCCGCGATGGGGTGAGCTCCCGTTGCTCGGTCCCTCCTCCTGCCAACCTAGCAGTTTGAAAGCACGTCAAAGTGCAAGTAGTTAAATATGTACCGCTCTGGCGGGAAGGTAAACGGCATTTCCGTGCGCTGCTCTGGTTTCGCCAGAAGCGGCTTAGTCATGCTGGCCACATGACCCGGAAAAACTGTCTGCGGACAAACACCAGCTCCCTTGGCCAGTAAAGCGAGATGAGCGCGCAACCCCAGAGTCATCCACAACTGGACTTAACTGTCAGGGGTCCCTTTTTCCTTTACCTACCCAAAGATGGCAACTAGGAATTCCGTTTTCGCAACTGCAACCTTGGTTTAACTTTAAGGAACCATTTGGTTCCTAGCTTATATACAGTGGTACCTCGGGTTACATACGCTTCAGGTTACAGACTCCGCTACCCCAGAAATAGTACCTCGGGTTAAGTACTTTGCTTCAGGATGAGAACAGAAATTGTGCTTCGGCGGCGCGGCAGCAGCAGGAGGCCCCATTAGCTAAAGTGGTGCTTCAGGTTAAGAACAGTTTCAGGTTAAGAACGGACCTCCAGAACGAATTAATTATGTAACCAGAGGTACCACTGTATCAGCTACCATTGCAAGCCCTCGAGAGAGAATTCTCTTAATCCTCTGAACGTTTTCTTCGAGTGTGTTCTTGAAAGTGGTTCTCCCCCCGCCCCACTTCAGGAAACTGAGTGCTGTTATTTATGGCACCAGGCTCTGAAAATAACTCCCATGTAGGTGGGTGTTAACAGCCCAGAAGACTGGGGAGACGCAGGCGGCTGTTTTGGTGCCATCGACTCTGAGATCGCTTGTTTTCTCAGAGTACCACTCCACTGTAAATCATCTCTCTCTCTCTCTCTCTCTCTCTCTGCCCACACACTTGGCACCAGCTCTGCAGACGTGAAGCCAGCTTTTGGAGAAGGCTGCTGCAGTCTTGGCGGCTTGGTTGCAAAGGTTGCTCTGTAGTGTTTTGGCTCTCCTTTGTAAACACCGGCGGTGCCCAGAGCCCCCTGGCCAAATGTCCTTGGCTTCACTTTTGGCAAACAATGACCTTTACCAAATCAAGGCTGCCAGGCCTGGCAGGAGCTGACCTCGAGAGGTGGGCAAGCAGGAACCTGGAGCTCAGGTGTTCTCTGGGGAGGGAGGGGCCTGTGGTTGCCCTGTGGCAAGGGGAAAGGCACTCTGCACGTGCCTCAGAGGCACCATTTTTCTGCGTGCTGCGGAGGCCGAGCCCTTTCGTGTTGAAACAGGTTTGGGGTTACATGAGCTTAAAATCGATCTCCGTTGATGACGCGCTCTTTAGAACAGTGTTAGAAACTCAAATAAATGAGCTAATTGCCAGGTGGCACCTTAAATTGGGGTTGCGGTCGCCACAATGGAAAGTCTAGATACTGTGTTTCTTTTTGCAATGGAATTTTTTGTTGTTTCTATAGCACTTTATATTTTAAAGAGGGGGAAACCTCAAAGTGGTGTACAATACAGTGGTATCTCGGGTTACATTTGCTCCAGGTTACATACGCTTCAGGTTACAGACTCCGCTAACCCAGAAATATTACCTTGGGTTAAGAACTTTGCTTCAGGATGAGAACAGAAATCGTGCTCCGGCGGTAGCGGGAGGCCCCATTAGCTAATATGGTGCTTCAGGTTAAGAACAGTTTCAGGTTAAGAACGGACCTCCGGAACGAATTAAGTACTCAACCTGAGGTACCACTGTACATTAAAACAAATCCAGAATTAAACGTATTCAAGCTTCAAGAAAGGTAGTTCAGATCCTTCTCTATTTTGCTTTTCCCATATTTATTTACCTATTTAATTTATATAGCTGCCCCATAGGAAGCCAATGTGGGGTAGTGGTCAGAGTGTCAGACTAGGACCTGGGAGGTCAGGATTCAAATCCCCACTCAGTCAGGAAACTCAAAGCCTCTTGGCCTATTTCACAGGGTCAAGCTGGACCTTTGGCCTGATCCTGTGTGCAATGGGTTTACGTTCATCCCCCACCTCACAAGAAGCAACCTGAGCACAAGCTTCTTCATAGCTTTTCTCAGTCTGGATGCTTGAAGAAGGCCATAACTCGCCATAGGCGGACAGCTGCTGATGCGCTTGTTCTGCAAAGCTGCAGGATTCTGCTCCCCTCTGACAGAATTGGAATTCACCTCTGGGGAAGCTTTCTGTTCCCTGATCCTGCAGAAGGTGGCTTTGCTAAAATATTCTTGAGAACCGAGGGGCAAGGTGTGTGTTCAGGCAGGTGGTATTGTTGTGTTTTTGTGGCCTCAGGCTCCCCTGTGAAACGTATATATCCTGTGTACTAGGGTACTTCCGCCTTCTGAGTGGCTTAAATGAATCAGAAGCTTCCTTAGAGCCATCTTACTCCAAAGTAACTTTGTTGTCACACCTCGGAGGAGGTTAGCAAGCTTGTCTCTCCCCTTTTAGCCCCATCTCCCTCCCCCTATTCCTTCCTGCACGCTTCAGAGATTTCCAGGAGAGCTAGCAGTTTCTGTTCAGTGCCTCTCCCCCCCCCCCCCCAAAATCTTTCCTTTTGTGCTCCACGACCTCCACCCCTCTTTTTTGAAAGCTGGATGTTCAGATCGGAGTGGAATGCACATCTGGGCTGAATATTTGTTAGAAAGTATTCCCAGGATAACGCCAAGTTGGCTGTGCCAAAGAGGAATTCCTGCGGGTTTGATCCGCTCCGTGATGTACTTTTTGTTAACGGGAAGAAAAAAAATGGGTTGTGGAGTGTCTCTTTTTGGTCAAAGAGATGAGTAGCAGAGCTGGAGCCCAGAACAAAATGTCAGCTTTGGCAATTTTGCAAGGGGAGATGAGATGCAAAAATCTGTTTCTATACAATACCAAGCTCAGTCTTTTCCACCCCAGCCCGACCCTTTTCTACATTGTTGTTTTTTTAAAGACCAGTGTTTTCCAAATTTTTAATAACTGAAGAAATTTTGGTTTGCTCTGAATTAAGATTGAAGGTGCTTCTGCGGTGATATCAAGCCGCACTCTGCTCCAAGGTGGCCCATTGGAATTGATGGACAGGCACATCTGTTTGGAAGTCTTCTCTGAATAGCGATTAACGTTGCGCATCACAGCTAGACTCCCAAATAATTTCGGTTTTAGAGTACCTTAAAAAGCGCCAGTAGTTTGTTTTGGTATGAGCAGCTGTTCTAGGTGTTTCTTCGGGTCCAATAGGGTCATACTCTCACCTGTTGCAGGTGGAGGGAGGCAGAATCGCTGCCCCCACTCCGAGACGAGGTTGATGGGAAGGCCAGAGCAGTGGATCACGCAGAGTGGCGACGGGCCACCTCCCCTGGAAGCAAGTGCTTTCCACCCACGAGAGATGTGATGCTTGTATAAAAACCCATTTCTGATCTCCTTTCTGAGAGCGGAAAGTAGGATATCCTAGATTTGAAAGGGACACCTAGGTTCATCTAGTCCAACCCCCTGCAATGCCGGAATCTGAGAGACCCTGAGAGAGTAGTAGTAGTAGTTGTTGTTACATGGTTTTATTCTTAAACCTCCCTTCATGGCCTGCGTGGAAATCTGGATTTTAGGCGTTAGCTGCAGCTTTTTTGGGTATCAGTTGCCTCACACGTTTTGGTGCCTAAATGATTCAGGAGCCCTCGAAGCTTTCAGGAGGGAATTTGGTTTTCTCCGATCTGGTTATTCTGGTTCAAATCTGACGCAACTGGTGCCTCGGGCCGATACATGCTCTGTTGTTTGCCCTCCTCTGGATTCTGCACCTGGTATAGGCTTCGAAATGCCAGTCCTTTTCCTGAACGTCCAAAGCAATTCATATGTGCATTGCTGTGAGCGCTACCTGGTGAACTCCTGGCTGAGGGGAGTTTGCTCCTATTTTAGCCGTGGACTAGGAATAGTCTTGTTGGACTTCAGCTCCCCCCACTGGCCCCTCTGGCTGAGATTAAGAGGGGTTGTGTGGCCCAGGAAGATCTGGAAGGGGGCCAGGGACCAAGGATGGGGAGGGAGCAGCTAAACGGCACTTCCTTTCACGTAATGTGTGAAGTTGCCCTCTGGAAACTTTACCTGGGCACCGTTCCAGTTCAAACTAATAAAAGCAGGGGCTGGCGGGTGGGGGGGAGAGACAATGGGATTGATGTCTTGGAGGGGGGGGGGAGCAGGGGAGAAAAATCTCCCTAAAAGCCTTGTCCACATTAATTACGAATAAAGCATTGCCTGGTCTGTGCATATTGTATCAACGGTGCAATAAAATTGTGGAGATCGCTTTTGGCCCTGCTGTAGGGGCTCCTTTCCCTCTTAATCTACTCATTCCTTTTGGAGAGGGGGTATTTTAAAACTCTTCTCTCCATCTTTTTTAAAAAAGCGATATTGCTAGCCTGGACTCATGTACAGATGGCCCTGGGCCCATGGTCTGTCTGACCATGTGCAGAGTGCCTATCCATGAGTAGCCTTAGTTCAGCATCGTAGTTCTGAATTAAAGGGCATCAATTGCAATCGTGGCTTGGGTAAAATAAATAATAATAATAATTTATTATTTCTACCCCGCCCATCTGGCTGGGTTTCCCCAGCCACTCTGGGTGGCTTCCAACACAATATTAAAATACAGTAATGCCTCAAACATTAAAAGCTTCCCTAAACAGGGCAAAACTATCGTATTCTTGAAGCCTGCCTTTATATGCAGAAACCTGGGCAAAGCAATTGACAGCCTGCTTCCCCATCTAGGATTCGCACAATTGATCGGCCCAAGTAACTCTTTCTGGTAGCCCAATCGGGCCTTTGGTGAAACAGGGATAGCTGATATATTTAACCTTTTAAATGCTATGGGTACCCAAGGCCAGTGCCCTTTGGTTGAGGGCTTTTGAAGGCTTGAGTGGAACAGTTCTCCCTTGGCAGGTTGTGAACTTTCCTTCCTTGGAGGTATTTAAGCATAGGTTGGGTGGCCATCTGTCATGGATGCTTTAGCTGAGTTTTCCTGCATTGCAGCGGGTTGGACTAGATGACCCTCGGGGTCCCTTCCAACTCTAAGGTCCTCTGATTCTATGTATCGCATTGGTGGTGTGTATGTGTGATGTTTCTGCAGGGCTCAACTGCAGGTGGGTTTGGGAGGCATCTTTCCCCTACATGACACACACACGCAATTCCTTGCAAGTAGAAAAGCAAGCAAGCAAGGGTTAGAACCCGCCTCCTTGCTCTGCCAGATCTTCATTTCCACACACCCCGATAAATTTAAATAAAATGTTAGCACCTTCTCATCCTCCTGCTTTTGCAATTTGTTGTTATCTACTTGTGGTTTTATTTCGGTGCCTGGTGTGGACAAACCGGTGCGTTCAGCAGCCCTGCCTTTGATTCACCGGGTGAGTAATATAGCCTAGCTGCGATGCCTCATTTTGCTCTCCGTCTGGGCTCAGGGTAAACAAGCAGCAAGTTCAGCGGAGTTTGGGTGTTTTGAAGGGCTCGCGGGAAGAGGAGGGACGCTGGGGGAAGGCTTATTAAGGCTCGAGGGCTCGCTCACCCAGAAATCCTCACCCAGAATATGCCTGGGTTCCTCTGCACACACCAGCGGGCGGCCGAGGCTTGTCGGGTAACATTCCTGCAGCCATCAAGGCTAGCCAGAGGCGTTCAGTGTTTTGTAAGGTGCTCAGTTAGAGCTGTGAGGTTGCGTGCGGTCCAGCTGATAATGGCCACCAAGCAAATGCAGACTAGGTCTCGGCCGTAATGCTGCTCAGTGCACCGAATATTCAAAAGGTGTGAAGCGTCATTCGTGGGTGGAGCTTGAACTCAAAGTGGGTGGGGGCAAACTGCGGCATGGAGACAGGCTGCCCCACCTTCCCGGTGAACATTGGCCTCTTGTTTTGCCTTTCAGCTAGTTTAGTAGACTTCAATTCCCATCATCCATGACCATCAGGCTGTGGATGATGGGAGTTGTAGTCCAGCAGTATCAAAGGAAAGCCAAGGTTGAAGAAACTCTGGGAAATAAAGTGGGGGAAATAAAATGAGGGTTTCTATTTAATATCCTGCCTGTTTAGGGTTCAAACCTTTGTGGCCAAAATTCACCAGGCATATTTTGCATTTGGTGGCGCTGTGGGTTAAACCACAGAGCCTAGGACTGGCCGATCAGAAGGTCGGCGGTTCAAATCCCCGCGACGGGGTGAGCTCCCGTTGCTCAGTCCCTTCTCCTGTCAACCTAGCAGTTTGAAAGCATGTCAAAGTGCAAGTAGATAAATAGGTACCGCTCTGGTGGGAAGGTAAACGGCATTTCCGTGCGCTGCTCTGGTTCGCCAGAAGCAATTTAGACATGCTGGCCACATGACCTGGAAGCTGTACGCCGGCTCCCTCGGCCAATAAAGCGAGATGAGCGCCGCAACCCCAGAGTCGGCCACGACTGGACCTAATGGTCCCTTTACCCTTTACCTTTATCAACCATTTGCGACCAAGTGAAGATGCCCTGGTGCCAGGATGGGGCTTAATGTCTCCTCCATCTGCATGCCTGGGGGTCCTTGGGTCTTGGACCATTTTCACACACCAGCGATACACCCTGTAGAATTCTATCTGTTATATTTTATTTGCACAATCAGAACGAATTTCAAGAACCAAAAAGTTGTAATGAAACTAGGCATTCCATTTTGGTGACTGTTTAGGTGATCCTGGTTTAAGGAGCCATTTAGCTTTATATACCTGACTTTCTAACATTGGCCTGTGCAATTGGGTGGCACTTAGCAATACACGTTCCATTGCCCAGAAGTAAGGCTTTCATAGGTGTGGGGTGCATAGGCCTGGCTTCAGAAGGTGCCCACTTTGGACGTAAAATAGGGCTACGTCAACGTGGTGCTCTCCAGATGGATAGCCAACCTTGCAGGTGGGTTGCCAAACTGTGGTCCTGCAGGAAGCTTGTTTTTCCTGGGAGAGATGGATGATAAACAGGTTTCTTTTCCTTTCCTGACTAACGGATAACAGTACCAGTGACATGTCTAGGAAATGCAGTTGCAAACTTTGCTCATTTACCTTGTGAACTTGTGAACCGTGAAAGATTAAAGAAAAGTGTGTGCCGCAAGGGGCCGAGTCAGAGGGCTCTGGGGGCCAGATGTCACCTGTGGGCTGCGCCTGCAGCAGACACCTTTGCGGAAGTGGCTGGTTGGAGGACTGGAGATTACATGTTTGCAAATTGCACGGGGAGCTGGGGAGGGGATGTTTTGAGCCAGAGATTGGGGCTGGGCTTATGCTTTGGGTGACAAATAAGCATTGATTCCTTGTGCGAGTCGTCCCCCCCCCTTTTTTTTCCTTTCCCCTGTTTCTGTTGAGCTGGTGCAATTTGCACAGGAACACTCTGTCTCCTCGGTTGGCGGAACTTGTTCCAAAGGAGCTACAGGCCAGAAATCTCCAAAGGGGTTGTGGGTTTTTGTTTGTTTGGACAGTTGGGAAAGAACGAAGAAAATGCAGCAATCCAAACACCGCCGGCGGTTGACTTTCGGGGGCATTCGCCCTGTTGTTCCAACGCTGCTTTTCCCCAACCGGGCGCCCTTCAGATGCTCTGCGCTACGGCGCCCGTTGTATGGGAGTTGTAGTCCAGCGCATATGAAGGGCGCCTGGTTGGGAAAAACTATTCTGATGGGCAGCAAATAGGGTTTATAATCCAGAGTGGATCCGTGGCAAACATTCCCACCTCCTGCATTTTCTGCCGTGGTCTGTTGCCGCGCTTGGGTGTTTTGTGTTTTTCCAGCTCACGAGAAGGCTGCGTTTTCCCACCAGGGGCCTGCTCCTGGCTGCTTTCCCTGCAGAGTGGCTTTGTTTAATTAGCATGAGCTAATGCAGCGAGGGGCTTGCATTAAAGGCACAGGCCCCCCTCGCAAGCGAGGCGTCGGGCTCCCTTACGGAGGAACATGTTGTGCTCGGGTTCGTGCTCTGCCTTTGTTCACCCCCCCTCTCCTCCCGACTTTTGCAAGTCTCGTCTTCGGCTACAGGAACACTCGGCTTGTCGGCAGCAATTAGACGGGAGCCAGTTTGGCTAGTTCCATGCGCTACAAGGGGGGGTGCTTTCTGCTTTATTGAACGTCTGCCCCCCCCTCCATACCCTAGTCGCGTGGCCATTTTGAAACCGTAGCCCAGGCCTCAAAATTAACTTGGGAGGCGTGCCCTTTGGGCCACACACAAACCTAGCGGACCAGCCCTCTGGATCCTGGCTATCATCAGTGCCTTCCACGCAGAACAGCTATGTTTTCGTAGAATCGCAGTCGGAAAGGACCCCAAAGGTCATCCAGTCCAACCCCTTGCAATGCAGGAATTGCAGCGCTACCTCCACAGGGAAGGTGTCCAGAAATCTGCATTAGGCAGCCTGTCCCCCAAAGCATGTTGTAGACGTGGTTGGCCACCCCAAGGGTAGAAATGGCTTCTCTTCAGTAGGGCTGGGCCATATCTGGTTTTCAACATTGCAGCGTGTCACCGGATAAACATCACAATATACCGACATATCACAATGTCTGGAGGAAAGGTGGAGCTTGGTTGAGGCGTTGGCTGGCTTCACGGTTTTTCCTGCGTCGTGATTTTTGCCGGCGCCTGCTCTTGGGATTCCCAACCCCAAGAGCTGAGCTGGTAGAGTTAACAAGGTTTGCAGGAATCAAGAGATTCTAACCACTGGTATACTGTACAGTAGTACCTCGGGTTACAGACGCTTCAGGTTACAGACTCCGCTAACCCAGAAATAGTACCTCGGGTTAAGAACTTTACCTCAGGATGAGAACAGAAATTGCGCCGCGGCAGCAGGAGGCCCCATTAGCTAAAGTGGTGCTTCAGGTTAAGAACAGTTTCAGGTTAAGAACGGTCCTCCAGAACGAATTAAGTTCTTAACCCGAGGTACCACTGTATTCAGAAGCAGGCTGCCTCCCGACCGTGGAGTGACCACCTAGCCATTGTGGCTAGTAGCCACACAGAGCCTAATTCTCCATAGATTTGTCTAATCCTCTTTCAAAGCCACACTTCACATCACTTCATGGGATGATGACGATGAAAGTTGGGAGTCCAACCACGTCTGGCAGGCAGTACAGTCATACCTCGGGCTACAGACACTTCAGGTTGCGTTTTTCCGGGTTGCGGACCGCCGAAACCCGGAAGTACCGGAACGGGTTACTTCCGGGTTTCGGCGGTCGCGCATGCGCAGAAGCACTAAATCGCTCCTTGCGCAGAAGCACCGAATCGCAACCTGCAAAGACGCTCTGGGTTGCGAACGTGCATCCTGCACGGATCACGTTCGCAACCCAAGCGTCCACTGTAGTTGAAGGAAGTTGTTCTGATTAGCTGTAGCGCCGTTTGAAAGGCTGCGTGGCTCGTAGCAACCAGCAAGGCAGATTTCTGTCTGTCTCTCCTTTTCTCGCTGGGTTTTATTGAAGAGCCTCATCCCCAGTGTGACCCAAAAGATTGCTCAGTCATTTTCCCTTTCTTCCTCTGCTTTCTCTTCAGTTATATGAAAACCTCTCACTAACCATGACGGGGGTGTTGAAAAGAAAATACAATGAACTGGAAGACGACGCCCCCTACTTCTCCTCATCTTCCTGCTCGCCTTTCTCTTCCTCCTCGTCGGCGTCTTCAGGCTGGGACTCGGACGAGGAAAACTCACGAGGAGGAGGAGGCATCAAACCCAGCTTGGCCTTGAGCTCCGATTTCACCCGTAAGTATATTCACTTCTTACGTTACACCTTCTCCTCCAAGGAGGTCGCGGCAGCCAAACGCAGTTCTCCTGCCCCGTTTTTGGCCGCACAACGATGCTGCGAGGTAGGTTAGGCTGTGCGAATGAATCTTAGAGCTGGAAAGGGGCAAGGGTCATCTAGTCCAACCCCCTTGGCAATGTGGGAATCTTTCGCCCAATGTGGGACTCGAACACACGACTCTTGAGGTTAAGATGGAGTGTGCGAATGTCTGAGCTGCCCAAAGCCATCCACTGAGCTTTGTGGCTAAAGTGGGGTTTGAACCTAGAGTCTCCATGTTTCTTACTGAGAACTCTACCCACTACTCCACACTGCCTCTCTCTAATGTGGACTTTGCATTGGCCCAAAGCTCTTTGCTTCTCTTCTGGAGTCTGCCTATTCCTGCCGGTTTGGAAGCTCGCAATATGTTTGCATAAACCTTCTTCGTGATAGACTTGGGAATTACCTTACGGGTTGCCTGTTTACACACGTGAAACGGAAATGGTTGAAGTGATGGTGTCAGGCAGGTATGAAGGAGGAGGGGAGGGGGCAGAAAGTCAGCCTGAGAAGTCCTGGAAGAGCTTTGAAAGTATTTGTCTGCCGCTCTTCATAGGAACGCATTGCAGGGCAGTTCACTACCCAAAGGGAAGGGAAATTGAGTTTGCAGTGGGTGAGAAGAATCCTGCATTTTGAGAAATGCTTCTCATCCTGTGCTAGAGTGCAAAGCGTGTTAATTCAAGTTAAGTGTGGGTTTTTTTAAATGTTAAAACAAGCAATTAAATGTTGACAAATTAGCTCTGGGCGCACACTTTAAAAAAATGAAGAATTAACTAGCTCATTGAATACAAGTGGAATTTGGTCATTCTAGTTTATTCAGCAAAATATCCAGTGTGCTAAATTAACATTTTCTGGCTGTCCTCGCAGCATCCTTCCACTCCTGCCATTAATAATGGCTTCCAGTTTTGCATTTTTCACTAAACCTCTCCACGGACTGTACCTACATCCTGCAGAGATGCTCTCCGCTGCCCTTCCAGTGAAAGGCAATCGTTTTAATCGGTAAATCTTGTACCAGACTGCTGGGACTGTTTTGCTTCTGAGGTCCACTTAGGCGACGCTTGCAAACCGGCTGCCGTCTCTAAATGCCTTGGAAGTCTTGAAACAACAAAGAGGCTTTCTTTTTGTGTTCTGGCTTTTGTGCGGCAACAATGAACTTTCTGTGTTCTCCTCCTGGCCTGTGGGGAAGGGGGGGAAGCATTGCAAACAATTCGAGCGATGACTGCAAATGCTGAAGTCTGATATTAACAAATATTTAACTTTATTTCTCTCTCTCGGTAATAAGTGTTTATATATTTTGACATTACTGAGCAGAACCGAGAGAGACGTGCCAACTGGCTGGCAGGGGGAGAAACCTTTGGATAAGCTGGCAGAAATCAAAGCGAGCTCTCTGGTGCATCACTCGCAACGGCTGGCTCATATGTTTTGACTCTTAATGGGCCACTAGATGTGCAGAAGCTTCAGTGTGCCTGTGTTGGTCGCTGTCTGTAACAGCTATCACCAGCATCTGCAATGGAGAGCTCTCTTCTAGCCTTCATTCTTGCTCACCATTGTTGGACAAGAAGTGCTTAGAACAAAAGAAAAATCATCCACATCTGAACTGAGTCCCAAAGCCATTTTCTTGAACATTTTGGGTGGGGGTTTTTTTGTAAATTTTCACAGGACTTGTGAAAGTATCTTGCTTGCAGTGTTTAAATACATACATACATACATACATACATAAAAAGGTAAAGGGACCCCTGACCATTAGGTCCAGTCACGGACGACTCTGGGGTTGCGGCGCTCATCTCGCTTTACTGGCCGAGGAAGCTGGCGTACAGCTTCCGGGTCATGTGGCCAGCATGACTAAGCCGCTTCTGGCGAACCAGAGCAGCATAGGGACACACCATTTACCTTCCCGCCGGAGCAGTACCTATTTATCTACTTGCACTTGACGTGCTTTCGAACTGCTAGGTTGGCAGGAGCAGGGACCGAGCAACGGGAGCTCACCCCGTCACGGAGATTCGAACCGCCGACTTTCTGATCGGCAAGCCGTAGGCTCTGTGATTTAGACCGCAGTGCCACCCGCGTCCTTACATGCATACATACATTTAAAAAAACCATTTTGGTTTTAAGTTGCATTTTTTAAAAAATACATTTGGGGGTTGCAAAACTAGCCGTAGTTCAAATGTTGCAGGCATTGCGCATCATCTCAGCTTCAGGAAGATCGCAGACACCTTGACTTTTTTTGCAAGTAGCAAAGCGCGCTTGGTGGGGAAGGAGGAGGCGAGCTGGAAACTGGTCACTATAGATACTACATTTTTAATCCTCTGCTTGCAGATTCCTGAGCAGCTGTTGAGCGTCATTCCTCTCCCCCGAGAGGCCTGGGAGCCTCATTATTTAATATAAGGAAGAGTTGTGCCAGTTTTTAAGTAAATGGATTCCAGATCGATCTGGCTAAGCCAGCACAGACGTGTCTCACAGATGCACTTAGATTGGTTTGACCCCTGCGTATCTCCATTTAATTGAATTCAGTAAATTGCCATCTTAAGCTAAACTGCTCCAAGCTAAGCATTGCGACATTATTCATAGCGGACGGAGAGCCATTTTTGCGTGTGTTTTATTTATAGCAAAAAAAAAAAACCCACAAAAAAACGAGCGAGCCTCTTTCTCTGCGATTGGAGACGGATGTGAGCCCACCTTGGGCGTTGAGAAATCAGTGCAGGGTATTCCTTCAAGTTGCCTGTGTTGGAAAGGAGTAGCTCAAAACCGGGACAGGAGTGTGAAGTTGTTGAATCTGCAGCCCATCTGCATAATTTGGCATCGCCGGGTGGATTTGCATGCTATTTGTGGAGCCACAGCAGGTGCCAGGCCACAGCTGGTGGCAACGCAGGGCTTCCTTTGCGATTGTCCTGGAATTCGCAGCCCCGGAGATCCCAAAATGGCCAGCATGAGGTTTTACAGATGAGGGAGGATGGAGTTGGCAGCCTCTTCCCACGTGGTTTTTGAGTCTAGGATAGTGTGGGGTGCGGGTCGTATCCGGCTGTGGCATTTGGGGGGTGGGGGGACAGGATGGGACATGGCAAAGACAGTGTACAACTTGCGGTTCCCAAACTTTGTATTAACGTTTTGCAGGGTTTTTAAAAAATCATCATTTAAAACAGCGAGAGGGAGAACTGAGGCATATGCTAGCAGTTCGCCGAAAGGGTGATCCCACATTGTTAGTTTTTAACTTTATTAAATATATATCCCGCCTTTCCTCTAGGAAGCTCAAGGCAGAATACAGTGGTACCTCGGGTTAAGTACTTAATTCGTAACCTGAAGCTGTTCTTAACCTGAAGCATCACTTTAGCTAATGGGGCCTCCTGCTGCCGCCGTGCCGCCAAAGCACGATTTCTGTTCTCATCCTGAAGCAAAGTTCTTAACCCGAGGTAATATTTCTGGTTTAGCAGAGTCAGTAACCTGAAGTGTATGTAACCTGAAGCGTATGTAACCCGAGGTACCACTGTACACGATAATCTTCCCTGCTTCCTACTTAGTCCCCACAAAAACCCTGTGAGGTAGGTTAGGCTGAGAGACAGCAACCGGCCCGAGTCACCCAGCGAACTTCACGGCTGAGTGGGGATTCGAACCCTGGTCTCCCAGCTCCTAGGCCAACACGCTAACCACTACACCACACTGGCTTTCAAGCACTTGCTCTCTCGTGCTCTTACCCAGAAGAGGGGTGTGTTTGTGTGTGTGTGGCTCAGTGGCTTGCTGAGTACAAGTTTAAGGGGGAGGTAAGATTTGAACCCAGGACAGACAGCTGGTGGCAGCGCTTTCTTTATTTCCGCAAGAACCCCTGACTTTGCAACCGCTTGCCACCCCTTGTGGGATTCTGCAGGCTGCAATTCTGCATTTCCTGCGTTTTTTTCCTTGCTGCTGCCACACTTGCCTATTTGGTGGCATAGCTGTCAACGTTTCCCTTTTTTTAAGGGAAATTCCCTTATTCCGAATAGGATTCCTCGCAAGAAAAGGGAAAAGTTGACAGCTATGCTTGGTGGGGTTTTTGTTTGGGTTTTTTTTTTTTTAAAGCTTCTTTTTTCATTTGAATTTGCATTAGGCAGAAGTACCTGATTGCACCGGTAAGGTTAAACATTAAAAAAAGCCTCCCCCCAAAATATATATATATACATAAAACGCATCATGCAGGTGCTTTAAGATAAACCAGGCACTTGAGCCAGCCATGTTTACATTGGGATCACCTGCCTATGAAAAGTAGTGGCTCTGCAGCTGCTTTTAAATTAGCCCCTGGAGATTAGGCTTGTAGATTTACAGTTCCTCCCAGTGCGCAGCGAAGGAAATGTCCTCAGAGCAGCTGTTTTGATGATCTTGTGTTCTCTCTCTCTCTCTCTCTCCGCCCCTCGCAAGAAGCTTCACCAGCAAAACTGTTTGGGTGTCTGTGTTTCCTTTTTAAGTAAAGTGGGCAGGAGGGCGGGGGAGAAATCTGGTCTGCAAAAAAAGCCCCCCCCCCGACTCCCTTGGCTTGACAGCGCGCAGATGGTGCGCTTAGACGGCCGGAGTAACGTGCAGTGAATATTTCATGTCCCCGGTTGCTGTCGGGGAAAACACGTTTCCTTGAGAAAACTGTCACGAGCCCAGGAACGCGGCTGCGTCTTGCGGAATCTGCTGGCTGGCAGGACGGCATCTGGGTGTGTGTGTGTGTGGTGTGACGGCGCAAGTCTCCCCGCCGAAACAAGAGCCAGCGCAAATGTGCAGCAGTGTATAGAACAGACCTGGGGGGGGGGGGAGGGACACACTGTAATATTTCCACACGTGCCTGGGCCGGAGGCAAAAATTGGTCCAGCTTGCATTTAATAGCTGAACCTGCCGGACTTTGCACCTTCTGAAATAATAATAATAATAATTTTAAAATTAAATTATTTTATTTATACCCCGCCCTCCCCGGCCAAAGCCGGGCTCTGGGCGGCTAACACCAATAAAATTGCAGTAAAAACATAATAAAAGAAAAAGAAAAAGATTAAAATACAGTGGTACCTCGGGTTAAGAATTTGTTCCAGAGGTCTGTTCTTAACCTGAAACCGTTCTTAACCTGAAGCACCACTTTAGCTAATGGGGCCTCCTGCTGCTGCCGCACCGCCGGAGCACGATTTCTGTTCTCATCCTGAAGCAAAGTACTTAACCTGAGGTACTGTTTCTCGGTTAGCGGAGTCTGTAACCTGAAGCGTCTGTAACCTGAAGTGTCTGTAACCTGAAGCGTATGTAACCCAAGGTACCACTGCCTAGTTGCAGTGGGGGCTGCTGCCCCTAGAGGTGGGTAGAGAATTGCAGTCCAGACTCTTGGATCGTCCCCTGCTTTGTGTGACTTGCAGACCTGGTGATGTTAATGCTGATCTACCTTGCAAGGTGGTTGTCAGGAGGATGGAGAGCATGCATATGAAAGGCTTCGGACCCTCAAAAGGCTGAGTAAAGGTGTCAAGAGGATCAAAATAACATAACGGATGCCTGCTCTAGATGAGCTGTCTTTTCCCGTTTTAATTTTATGCATGGGTCTTTCAAGGCAGTTGGTTAGCTCTTTTTAAAAAAGCCGCTCTGAGAAATTTAGTCACAAAAGGAAAGCGAAAAACCCAGCACTTCATTTTTTAATAAGAGAGGCAGTATTGTTTAGTGGTTAGAGTTTTGGACTAGCCCCAGCCAAACCTAGGTTTGAATCCTTATTGTAAGGAAAACAGTCCGTCCCTCCTTCTGTCATCGCCATCAGAAACTCTTAACCTTCAACTCTCAACACTTGCACCATTGTGTCTAATTGGAGTGATAATATAATATTCCTGAGCAGCTAGATTTCTGCTTGTGGGGAAATGGTTCCTTCTCCCACCTCCAGCCTGTCTGTTTTTGGAGTCTTGTATTATTATTTATTGAATTTATATACCGCCCTATGCTCGGAGGTCTCAGGGCGGTTCTCAGAATAGAATCAAAATATAAAACCACAAAATACGTAATCAAAATAAAAACAACAACCTGATACCACCCCCCCAAAAAAAAATTTTAAAAGGGCATAGGATGTCAATCAAATCAACCAAAGGCCTGGTTAAAAAGGAACGTTATTGCCTGGCACCTAAAGGTGTATTATGAAGGTGCCAGGCGAACTTCCCTGGGGAAGAGTATTCCACAGAGGGGGAGCCACTGCAGAAAAGACCCTGTTGCCACCCTCTGGACCTCTTGAGGAGGAGGAGGCACACAAAGAAGGGCCTCAGAAGATGATTGTGTCAATGAGTCTTTTTTATTATTACTTTTTTGTTTATCTTTGTTACTTCTTTATTTTTCCTTTTTTCCTTTCTTTATAAATTTTCTATTTTATATAATTTTCTTTTTTCTACCTGTTAAGAGATAGTACATAATGTTTGTAAGACATGCAATTTTTTAAATGAATAAAGAATATATATATTTTTTTAAAAAGATAATGATCTCAGGGTCCGGGTAGGTTCATATGGAAAGAGGCAGTCCTTTAGGTATTGCGGTCATGTTAAAAGGCACTTCAGGTGTTGTAAACTGTTTTCCCCTCTTGGTTTTCAAAAAAGCAGGTTTCTAGCCCTCAATGGTACAGATAGGAGATGGAAACAGGAAAGATTCATTCTCTTTTAATACCCTATTCTCAACCATTGATTATGCACTTTAAATGAGCCATTGCAGCAAGCGCTCACCTCGCTTCGTCTTTCTCTCTCCCAGCCACCTCCATCCTGAAGAAAAGCAAACGGTTGAAGCGCAACAACGTGGAGTTTGACCGGGTCACCGTCTTCTACTTTCCGCGCTGCCAGGGCTTCACCAGCGTGCCCAGCCGCGGGGGCTGCACCTTAGGCATGGTCAGCAAGCACGGCTTCTCCCGGGAGTTCACGCTGGCCGAGTTTTCCAAGGAGCAAGAGGCCGTCCGGCGGGAGAAGCTCAAGGAGCGCTTGAAAGAGGAGAAGCTGGAAGCCCTGAAGTGGAAAGTAAGTGGTGGGACACCGGGTGGGCATGCAGAAGGCCGCTATGGAGAGGCGCCTCTAGCTGTAAAAACAATTTCTGGTCGTTCTTGGAATATGCAGAAATAGCCAAATTAAGAGGGAAAATTAGACAACAGGGCGAGGAAACATTTCAAAAAGAATGGGGAAAATTTCTGTCGTATATAGGAAAGATAAGATGAAATAGGGAAACCAGTAGAATTGGAAATAAACCTCATAACGGGAAAGATTAAGAAAAGTGATGGATGATGAAAATAATAAGAAGCAAAATGTATAAGGAGATTAATACAACTAACAGTAGTTGTAAATAAATAAATAAATAAAGACAGACAGACAGACAACAAGAATTGAATAAACAGGAGGATTTATTTGTTTATGGATATACTATGGACAAATACGGAAAATGAATAACAATATACAAAATGGATGAAAATAATGCGATAAAATTATATGTGATATAAAAAACCAGAAGGAGGGAAGTCAGTGCTTAGGAGCAAGTATAAATGTAAAATGCAACACATTATGTGTATGTGGCGTATGTAACCGGAAAACTAATAAAGATTATTTGGACAACAAGGAGGGATTTCTGATTTCAAGATGGCGGCCGTCATGCTTCTGCTTCTTACACAAGTTTTCTCTGCGTTTCTCCAAACAGCTCACCATGAACGGTACGAAGGAGTCAGAGGAAGCCAACCAGCTCACCACAGAAGACATCTCTGACGATGACATCGACGCCAGCGCCACCGAGCTGGAAGACGGCTTCTTCCTCCAGCCGTACCCGGCCAAGAAGAGGCGAGCTCTGCTCAAAGCCATGGGCGTCAAGAAGATTGACAAAGAGGAGAAGCGGGAGCTGCATAGCATCCGCCTCTCCCGGGAAGACTGCGGCTGCGACTGCCAGGAGTTCTGCGACCCCGAGACGTGTAGCTGCAGCCTAGCGGGCATTAAATGTCAGGTGTGTGTGAGGAGGGGTCTTCTTGGCCGGGTTTCTTGCGAGGAAGAGGGCTTATGGGACCCAGTGTGGGGAAAGCGGAGATTGCCCTGGGAGAAGCTGGTCTTCCGCTGCTTCTGGTATGTTGGGGCTGAGAAGGAATGATAATAATAATAAATAATAATTTATTATTTATACGCTGCCCATCTGGCTGGGTTTCCCCAGCCACTCTGGGCGGCTCCCAACAGAATATTAAAAACACGATAAAACATCAAAACATTCAAAACTTCCCTATACAGGGCTGCATTCAGATGTCTTCTAAAAGTCAGATAGTTGTTTATTTCCTTGGCATCTGGTGGGAGGGTGTTGTACAGGGCGGGAGCCACTACTGAGAAGGCCCTCTGCCTGGTTCCCTGTAACCTCACTTCTCGCAGGGAGGGAAGTGCCAGAAGGCCCTCGGCGCTGGACCTCAGTGTCCGGAATGGTATAAAGGGTCGAGGTCTGAAGCTTCAAGACGAGCAAAAAGCCTTGGAGGATGCTGAGATGAGCAGCTGCTTTTGCCCAGAGGGCAAATGGGAGACGGCAGTTCTCCCACCAAACAGATATTGGCCAGCCTTTCCACACTGTTTTTGTTTATCGATTTATTTCATTAATAAACCACCCTTTATCAGAAGATCCCAGGGCGGTGTACAACATTAAGGACACATCGTACCGAGCGTAAAAATGAAAGCAGCTTAATAAAATAACACAGTCCCCACCATTTCAGCTTTAACAGGCCGTAGATTGTTTAATGGCCCACAAGCATAGGCAATGAGGAATGTTTTTGCCTGGCGCCTAAAGACATGCAATGATGGCATCATGTGAGCCTCTCTAGGGATACCATTCCATAGACTGGGAGCCACCACAGAAAGGGCACTGTCTCGTGTTGCTACCCTCCTGGCGAGTGTGGACACAGAGAAGTTTGCAGCTCCACCTTTTTCCTATGTGCCGAGCTGGGCATAGGTGCAAAAGAAGCCGCCTTATACTCTCTCAGGCCAGTTTGGCCATCCAGCCCAGAGTTGTCTGCACTTACCTGAACGTGACTGACACCAGGCGGGGGCACCTTCAGTCTTCTCTCTCTGGCACCTGCTTAAAATGTTACTGCTTAGGTGAGCCTCTCCAGACATGTCGAAGTCACAGGTGTGTTGGCAGCTGTATTAAAACACAGGGAGTGTTTGGGTGTTATTTTAATTACTTATTTGTGTTTTTATCTTGTATGGTTTTTATCTTGTGAACCACCCTTGTGATCTTTTGCTGAAGGGAAGTGTAGAATTGTTGTTGTTGTTGTTGTTGTTGTTGTTGTTGTTGTTGTTGTTGTAGTATTTATACCCTGCCTATCTGGCTGGGTTTCCCCAGCCACTCTGGGCGACTTCCAGTACAGTGGTACCTTGGGTTACATACGCTTCAGGTTACATATGCTTCAGGTTACAGACTCCGCTAACCCAGAAATAGTGCTTCAGGTTAAGAACTTTGCTTCAGGATGAGAACAGAAATCGTGCTCCAGCGGCACGGCAGCAGCAGGAGGCCCCATTAGCTAAAGTGGTGCTTCAGGTTAAGAACGGACCTCCGGAAGGAATTAAGTACTTAACCCAAGGTACCACTGTACATATGAAAACATAACAAAACATCAAACATTAAACACTATCCAATCCAGGCTGCCTTCAGATGTCTTCTAAAAGTTATGTAGTTCTTTATTTCCTTGATATCTAGAGCGTTCCACAGAGCAGGTGCCACTACCGAGAAGGCCCTCTGCCTGGTTCCCTGTAACCTCACTTCTCGCAGTGAGGGAACCACCAGAAGAATATCAGCACAGCACTATTAAAAGCCCTTTTCTTAATTTTTTGTTGTTGAATAAAACAAAGAGAAATGCATGTGTCAGACTTGACAGGCTAAAAGCAAGCAGTTGAACCAGTTATGAGCAGGTCTTTTTTTAAAAAAATAAAAAGTCTGGCTTAAAGGTAGAGGCCATATGACTAACATCTAGTCCTTCTGCTCCCCAGATGGACCACACGTCGTTTCCCTGCGGCTGCACGAAGGACGGCTGCGGCAACACAGAGGGCCGGATCGAGTTCAACCAAGCCCGGGTGCAGACACACTTCATCCACACCATCATGAAACTGGAGCTGGAGAAGAACCAGCCCAGCCCTGAGCGGAGCCCGGAGCCTGAACCCCTCTTCCGGGACCGGCTGCTCCCCTTCGGGTGCCCCGCGGGCAAGGCGGCGTTTGAGGAGAGGACGGTGCCGCTGGCGCCCGCCTTCCAGTTCAGCACGGACCTGGAGGCCATTGGCGAGAACAGCTGCAGCAGCGACATGACCGACTCCTCGGTGTCGTCCAACCAGAGCGAGGACCTGGAGGAGCCGTACGAGGCCGTGCCCTCCGAGAAGTCGCAGTCGGACGTGGACGACGACGGCCTGGCCCGCATTCTCCACTTCAACGACTCCGACACGGAGGACGACAGCAGCGCCGCTAGCAACTGCCAGGACAACCTGAGCTCCTTCCACCCGACCGGCTTCTTCAGCGTGGACGTGGAGAACCAGTGCGCCACCGACAAGTTTGGCTCTGGCCACCCCCTGAACCATTCGTCGAACATCACGGGCTGTTTGGACGAGAACGCCAACCAGGGGGTGAGCTGTTTTCTGGAGGAAACTTTGCCCAGGGCAGCCCAAGCCGCGGGCGTTCCTTCCTGTGCCCCCTCTTCTTCCTCCTCCTCCGCCGTCGCCTCAATGGAGCAAGGCTCTAGGAGCTACATGGATCTGAGCCTCTCCTCGGACTCTCTGGATTTCTTCCAGTCCTTCTCGGACTACAACCTTGGACCCCTTTACAATTCTTTGAAGGAGTACGAGAACCTGGACAACTTTTCGGCGCTGCAGCTCCAGTTGCCGAATTTCCCCAGCTTGCCCCAGCCCGGGGATCAGAGCCCGTGCTTTCTGGAGTCCCTCATTGGCCTGTCCGAATCTGTCCCAGAAACCCCTGCGCCTTTTACAGACAATCAGCTCCTAGAAGATGCCATTAAGTCCTCTCTCATGGAAACAGTGAAGGTTTAAATGCTTTTGTTTTTTGGGAAAAGCCGAAGAGAGGGGGGGGAACCCCCGCAAGAAACTGCCAACCCCTTCCCTGAAGAGAAGGAAATGCTACGTAATATTTTGTTCCTTTTTTCAGATACTTTGGAGGAAGACGAAACAAACTCTGCAGCCGCAATCGGTTTTCTTGCTGTTGGTGCAAAAATCTCTCGGCGTTGGGGGTGGGCAGGGGGTGGAAGACAATTTTTTGCTAAACACAATTTACCTGCATTTTGTATTTTGGGCTGGGAGGCACGTAAGGGAGGGGGCAGGGAAAGACCTCGTGAGAAATGCATTGCTCGTCCACAAAGCACCTTCTGTGAACGTTTTCAAATGTTTGCAGACAATTTTCTCAAGCTACTTTGGGAAGTCTAAGTATATATAATTATATTTATTGTGGGGGGTGGGGTGGGGGGAAGGATTTGCTGAAGAGTTTGCTCTTGCTTAAATGGGAAGAGGTTTACAAGGAAGCAGAATAAATGACACAACACACACTATTATATACATAATTCCCCCCATGCCCTCTATTTATTGCAAACCTCCACAGTTTTCAAGTAGCCTTCGAAGCTTGAACTGAGCACCGAATCTTATTTAAATTAGTCATACCTTGGATGTATTATGTGCACAATCATTTTTTTTGCATAATATATCTGTATTTATTTATTTCGTGTTCATGCCTGGGTAGGAACGTGGTTTATCAAGGACCTGCAAATAGCCCAAGCCTGCCTCAATGGGTCACTTGGTTCGGGTGCCCCATTTCCCCCTCTTGGTTAAAACACTGAGGAGTTGTTATACTTTCAAGTATAATTCCCCCATCCCCTGTCTTTTGCATAAGTCCCATACCCACACTACAAACCATTCTGGGCTTCCAAATGGAACTTCTCAGAACTTTAGTCATCTTAGGAGAGAGTTGAGAAGACTCCTTGAGAGATTCCCCAGCCCCTCTTCTTGGATCGGAGAGATTGTGGACCTTGTGGGTGTTGCCAGACTAGGACTCCCATCATTGCTGGCTTGGGTGTGATGGGAGCCAGGGAAGCTTCAAGAGTTATGGGGCTCCATTTCTTCCTTAGTGGACCACAGAGGTTACTATTAGGAGGTTGGTTTTTAAATCTGTGCAGTAGCTTTGCAGTGCAGATATGAATGGGGAAGTGGGGAGTGTCGTTGCCACAAACGGTGCAAGTGAAAGGGCCTCTCTCTGGGTCACACACCTGTGGTGTAGGAGAGCCTTTGAATTTCTGAGCATGCGGCACATTGGCTGCTGCAGCTGAACATGAAAGACACTCTCCATGCATCACTGCAGCGCCGTGTGGCGCAGGACTCAAGCGCTGTATCACAAGGTTGTATGTCGCTATAACCATTTGAAAAATGAAATCACAGTTCCGTTCTTTTGTGTGTGATGTCCATAATTCTGCCAGGGGCAATTATAAGGAGGCTGGGAACTATGAAGAGAGAGGGAATAGAATGAACTATTTAAAGAAGAGAGAGGAAAGGTTAAAATGGTGTGGTAAATTATTTTGTAATTTATTTAATGTCCTTAAGGATTTGGCCATGAGATTTTTTTGATAGAAGCAATCTGATCTATTACTATGCTGCCTGAATATATAGAGGAACCAATTCTGGAGCTGCCAAGGTTGCAATTTTTTGGAGGAATGGAAAGAGCAAAAATTGCAAAAGGGGGGGGGTTGCGATGGGGAGCAAAAAACTGTGCTTGCAAGCCTCAGGGTGCTTTGGGATATCTTTGGGGGTCTTAACCCACAATCTTTAGCCAGGCCACTCCAGTTTCAGTACAGACTGCCCATGGCGCTAATAGCAGGAGAAGGCAGAACCATCCAGATAAATTGCGCACCTTTTCTTTCAAAGATTATTCTGTAGTGAACTAGAATCCCACTTACCGGAACAGGTCAAAGATGGTTTTCTCTAGAATTCCCTTAGGCCATGAAAAGTTGACATTTAGGATTTTGTTGGTTAACCTGATGGTTGGGCCTAGTGGCTGTGCTTTGGGGTTTGTTTGTTTTTTTAAAAAAAAGTTGCCTAAGCTTCGTTAATGGAAATAGATGGAATTCTTGCCTCTCCTGAGATTGGAAGACCTGCACTTTGACCTCCCAGAGATGTACAAAGCACCCGGAATTCCTTCCACATGGGAACCTTTTGGTTGGAAAGACTTTGCCCCATCTGGTCTATGCAAAGAGGGGTCTCCCCCCCCCCTTTTAACAAACCTGCGTGGTAAAGAGAAAATGTCTACAGAATAATCTGGCATCTATCTAGTGTAAAGGGGTTATCCCACTGTGAGAAAACTTTAAACATCTGCTTAACTTTTAAAACTATACATACGTATATATACACCGTTTTTTATTTAATTTGTGGGAGTCTTTTAAAATAATAAAAAAAAACCTCAGCCTACTTTTTTTAAAAAAAAAATACTTTGGCACATTTGGGGGTGTGTGTTTTTTTTTTGGTACTGCTTTTTCTATTTTTGTTTTCATTCTTTGGCACTAAAGCAACAATTTTTAGAACATTCCTGCGTTCCTTTGCATACGTCATTTTAAAATGAATGTTGGGAGATTGAGGGTGTTCGAAAACCCTCCTGCCTTCATGATCCTCCCCCCTCTAATTTATTCATTTCTTTGTTTCGTTTTGTTGGTGCCAACTTCCTGCTCCTTCTCACCCCAGGGTGCACTGATTTGTAAATAGATATATATTTTCCCCCTTCTGTACCTTGTATAAAATGTTGCCTGTTCAAACTGTCTTCTTTTTAAAAAAAAGAAAAAGAGAGAGAAAAACCTGAAAAACAAAATTGGGTATTTATTGACACAATCTGTAATTATCTAATGTATTGATTGAAACTCTTTGGTTTCAACAGCTTTATGTTTGCTTTCTCTCAGTGTGTGTGTGTGTGTGTGTGTGTGTGTGTGAATATATATATATATAGCTATATATATATATATATATATATATAGCTATATATATATATAGCTTAACGGTGCCGAAAGGTACCAGTTTAAAATACTTTTATTTTTAACCCCTTTCCCCCAAATTTTCATTTGTAAAACAAAAAAAGCATCCTTTTGCCTACAAGCTGCTGTCTCTCATTTCATACAAGCAATATGAAGAAAATTTCATTACACTTTCAATAAAACAAACTCTTTTTCGGTTTGGAATATTTGGTGCGTGTGCTCCTTCTCGACATATGGGGGGTGGGTGGGAGAAGCGGATTAGTGGAAATCTAATCTTCCCGGCAAAAGGCCCGGCAGTAGTTGCTTTCACAACTTGCCATTCGGGGCTGCCAATTTCTGGGTTGTGTGTGGGCAGAATGGGGGTGAAGGGTTCTTTGTTCCTAGGTGCTCTAAGAAAAAACTGCCCCTTTATCCCTTATGGGGTACCCAAGAGCCCATATAGAGTCCTTACGTAGGTTTTCTATCGGTAAGAGAAAATAACACAGGCCAACCAGGGAATATTGAGAAGCAAAGCAGCTAGTAAGGCTGATCTTTATTAAACTGTTGCAACAGGGTCCCCTGCTCCCGACCACCCCCCAAAACAATATACATATATACATAACAGAAAGAGGCGGTCTGCAGCAGAAATTTGAGTGTATTGCTTCTCTCCTGTCTGCTGGGATACCTGATAATGCCTTATCTGATTGCCTTTTCTGGGTAGCCTGGCCATTCTTTTGAGAGGGTAAATACCGTATTTTTCGCTCTATAAGACGCACCAGACCACAACACGCACCTAGTTTTTGGAGGAGGAAAACAAGAAAAAAAAATATTCTGAATCTCAGAAGTCAGAACAGCAAGAGGGATTGCTGCGCAGTGAAAGCAGCAATCCTTCTTGCTGTTCTGGCTTCTGTGATAGCTGCGCAGCCTGCATTCACTCCATAAGACGCACACACATTTCCCCTTACTTTTTAGGAGGGGAAAAGTGAGTCTTATAGAGCAAAAAATACGGTACTTAGTTCCTGAATCTGTAGGTATCTGAAGAAGTGTGCATGCACATGAAAGCTCATACCAGTAACAAACTTAGTTGGTCTCTAAGGTGCTACTGGAAGGAATTTTTGTTATTTTGTTTCGACTACGGCAGACCAACATGGCTACCTACCTGTAACTATATCAAATCCTAAACTATGTTTTCAACTTCGTAGACCCACTATTCTGTTCTAACACAGGTCAACCAATCCGGATTAACACCGCTAGTAATAATAATATATAATAATAATTTATTATTTATACCCCGCCCATCTGGCTGGGCTTCCCCGGCCACTCTGGGCGGCTTCCAAAAGAATATTAAAATACTATAATACATCAAACATTAAAAGCTTCCCGAAACAGGGCTGCCTTCAGATGTCTTCTAAAAGCCTGGTAGTTGTTGTTCTCTTTGACATCTGGTGGGAGGGTGTTCCACAGGGAAGGCGCCACTACCGAGAAGGCCCTCTGCCCTCTGACTCCCAGGCTGCGCACCTGGTCCTTCAGGGGCACAGTTACCCTATTCAGGACCAGGGAGTCCTCCACATCTGCCCGCCCCCTGTCCCCCAAAAACAGTACTTCTCTCTTGTCAGGATTCAACTTCAATCCATTAGCCGCCATCCATCCTCCAACCGCCTCCAGGCACTCACACAGGACCTTCACTGCCTTCACTGGTTCTGATTTGAAAGAGAGGTAGAGCTGGGTATCATCCGCATACTGATGAACACCCAGCCCAAATCCCCTGATGATCTCTCCCAGCGGCTTCATGTAGATGTTGAAAAGCATGGGGAGAGGACAGAACCCTGAGGTACCCCACAAGTGAGGGCCCAGGGGTCTGAACACTCATCCCCCACCACCACTTTCTGAACACGGCCCAGGAGGAAGGAGCGGAACCACTGTATAACAGTGCCCCCAGCTCCCAGCCCCTCAAGACGGTCCAGAAGGATGTTATGGTTGATGGTATCAAACGCCACTGAGAGATCCAGCAGAACTAGGAAACAGCTCTCACCTTTGTCCCTAGCCCGCCGGAGATCATCAACCAGTGCGACCAGTTTCAGTCCCATGATGAGGCCTGAATCCCGACTGGAAGGGATCCAAATGGTCCGCTTCTTCCAGGCGTGCCTGGAGTTGTTCAGCAACCACTCGCTCAATCACCTTGCCCAAGAATGGAAGATTTGAGACTGGGC